ATCAATTATCGGGATGGCAGAGTGTGAGCGGGACGGTGACAGAGGGCATGAGAGTGTGCCAAGGTCGAATGAAGGGCGTGTAGGAGCGGACAGCTGCAGAGGGAGAGCAGAAAATAGAAGCGATGAGGGAGAGACGGAGGGAAGAGCAGCAGAACCATGTCACACCTTTTTACAACGTTCAACACCATGTGGAGACGGAGCCTGTTACACCTGCACTGTACGCCATGTTCCATTCAAACTATGAAACATTTACATTTAATTCTATTTCTTGGTCAATTACAAAAACCATCACACTTTTTAACATTTATTTAAAGGGGCCCCAGACATTATGAAAATATTAATGCGAAGATGGATATGATTGACACATTATTGACGTTAAAGTTTTATTCTTGGGTTCTTAACTTGAATATCCAACCAGAAAGCTCACTTAGAATCACCTTCTATCTTTGGTGAAATCCAGCTGGTTTGGTCACTGCATAAAGCCCAGCGGCTGAAGTAAACTAGTTATCAGAGATGGAGGATGTGTGTGCACTAAACATGACACTAGCAAGAAATGTTTGTATCAGAAGTAATGTTGTATTACCAGTAAGAGCAAAAACTACACACTGTTCTTTCTTCGAGTCTCCAGAATAATGCATGGGTATCTTGATTGAAATTGAAAATACCCATGCATTAAAATGTACTTGACAGGGTCTGTTTTGCCACTTTCTACAAATACAAGAAAAAAAACCACTATACAACATAAAAGGATTGACAATTTGCAATAGTAAGTTATGTGTGCTGTAATGATGGCTTTCAGTCCTGTCTGCAACATACACTTAACTTGACAGTGTCGGGGAGTGATTAGTGTTAAATGTAAAAGTGTACTAAAGTATTGTGAGTCACTGTGTCGTGTAAAATGCTAGCACTCCACAAAGCAGTTTGATGCTGTTATTGCAAATTAGAGACGCCAATACTTTATCTAATCTCGGCCCATTTCCTGCAATTCATATCATTGTTTTAAAATGCCACCAAACATTTATTTTTTCTCATCACAATTAAAAGACTCTCTGGAGTGAGACATATAAGAACAGTGGAATGCATGTGTTTCCATAGAAACTAAGTGTAATTATGGTAATTAGACCACTGTGAACAATCTCGTCTTTCCCAATTAAGTCAATGCGCATGCAGAGATTTAAATGTAGTTAGAAATGTAGAATAAAGGATCAGTGGCCGTTAACATTATACTTCACAGTCATCCTCCAAAAGATTTACACTGGCACTTGAGACATTAGTGCTTGATGCAAGGTCAGGCTGCAGCACCATGGAGGCGTGCTGCCTTCCACACTCAGTGACCTCTGACGTCCAGGACCAGCCATCATCTTCACCAGGGCTATGACTCTCACTACTGACAGGGACACACGGCGGCTGAGCGCAGATTAACCTGTGTCGGTGCATGCTGGGTAACAGAGCTCTGATAAACACATGCAAGGGCCTCCATGTTTTAGGATGATTTTATTTGCTGATCCGTTGATGCCAGAGTCAATTTAGCATTCCTGGTCACGGATACAGCACTCTCCTTCCCATGCACTGCTAATAATATTGATCCTCCTTCATGCTACGCCTTCAATATAAATTGTCCAGAGCAAGTTTTCCATTGATTAGGCTTGCTCTCGAAGGGGGAAAAACCCGCACAGTAACAGTGAAGCCATTGATCAGTGAAGTGATAGATCAGAAGCATTTATCATTTGGGAGAAGCCATGATAATTAATTGATATTGATGAATGTGTTCTATAAATGTTGATGTGATGAGAGAAAGGGAAGAAGTGTCTTCTCATTCTGCTCTGTGGGAGAGGCAGAGGACATACATATGCCTATAGCAGGTGTAATTGAAGGCTATTACCATAATGCACTCTACCTTGTGTTATTCATATTCAAATCGTCAGGTTCGGGCTGAAAATATTTCCAGACTCTTGGCGCTGATTGCAGATTGAGAGTGCGAGAATAGTGACCACTGATTTAAATTATACATATAAAGAGCCGCAAAGGGTGCTTGTCTTGGCTCCCATCGAGAAGTTCATGCAATTTAAAGCATCAAATTATCAAGTTCAATATTTGATGTTTCCACTGTCGCTGCTAAGAGGAGGATATGAGATCCACTTGTGCTTTGTTATCAAAATGGGATTCCAGTGTGTGCAAAACTGCCTTGTATTATTCACTATGCTCGCCGCCGAGTTATTCTAATGAAGAGAAAAAACTGCTATTAGCTTTAGAGAGTAGAAGCTCCAGCAGAAACATCGTAGATTATTTTGGGACATGCTGTGCTCTGTGTGGCAGGTCGGGGTGCGGTGTTGTGAGACAACCCCAGTGTTTCTCTGCCAAAAAAGGTTTTTCCTGTCAGTTCACCAAACAGGGCCCTTTGAGGGTTTCTGACCCCATTAAAAGTATGTATTCTTCAAAGACACGTAATGCTTTTCAGGAAGTGGGAAAGACAAAGACAGTTATATCGCAAAGAATCGAAGTTTGTAGGAATATTGCATGCTTGACCAAACCTTGCGATACAAATCAGTTTTATTTTTTGTTCCTAACCAATTTTATCATTGAACAGTTAGCTCATGGCTGCAGCCTTCTACACAGCTCTCATGTACAGAATGACATTACACTCTGGGGATCCACTTATTATTCCGAGATCTTAATAGCGATGTAAAAAAATTTGATGATTTGAACCCATATCTGATGGAACACCTTTTCACACCGACAATTACGTTTGAAGACATTGACTTTTGCATACATTTCCACATGGTACATACTTTCCTTTTGAATATAAATGCTTTCAGTTAAGTTTGTCATATTGCACCATGCACAGCCTTCAAATGGAGACTAAGGACATTTATGGACATTTATTAATTGTTATGGACATAGCTCATCCTGCTCCCTATGCAACAGAAGCTCCTATGAGTTTGTTATTATTGCATTACTGTTTTCGAACTGATCTGTTGTTGGCGAATCAACACATTTGTTAAGTCCTCCAAGACGACTGCAGTTGTGATTTAGGGCTATACAAAAATAAATTGAATTGAACCAGAGCGCTCAGCTTCTACTCATTATTACTATAACCAAATAAGTGGGATATCCTAACCCCCTTCACCCCCAGACGTGAACTCATGCTCCCACAGTGTCAGTCTAACCTTCTCACAGTAATTTTTTGACCATGCTGGGTCAAAGGTGTCCACACAAATCTGACCGGGGTACAATCATACGCTCCACCTCTGCCTTGTATTCATTTCTGTGGGAAATATCAAGAAGCTGGAACCTCGCCCTCGATGACCCTCCAATCGCAACAATAACACTCAGCAAAGCACCCTGTAATTACAAGCACCATCTCCTATTCATCAGCTCGCAGGATGGAAATGCCTCAATATCATGTGCTTCAAGTCGAACCAGGCAGGACGCTGAGGACAGAGCTGATGGCGTGTTGCGGTAAAATAAACAAAAGCGCTTTGAGTATGAGCAGAAAGCATTTCAATTCACTTTAGGATTAGCGGACAATAACCGGTCGCTGCTGTTGAAATATGCCGCATTGATTTCATGGATCTGCCGACCTCTGGGGCTGAAGGACGCATGGAAATCAAATCAAGATCTTCAAATGTCCCTCCACTTCACTCAATTAAGGTAAATTTGTAGAAGTGGACAACTGTTTCATATTCTGTGATGAGAAAAAAGTCGATTGGTTATTTTTGTATGTGCCTAAACTGAAAGGTATAAAGCAAATATCAAGGCTTGAATTGAAAAGGAGAGTGATTCTGATTCTGAAGTGATCAAAGGTAAAAAAAGAACCCACACATGGATTTTTGATGACTTTTGTGCAATTACGTTACAACAGTTTGCAGAAGTCCACTTGATGTTTTGATTATCTGAAGGTCAAAGCAAATGTATATTTTGTATCGTTGAGGGGAGCTTCCTTCTTTTGCCTTGGTAAAAACATTTGGATGCTGTGAAAACTCTGGTTGGGTTGTTTATGCCGTGAACAACAATAAAACATGTCTTCTGCTGAGACACAATCCCAGACCTCTGCGTCTTTTGTCATCTCTTTGATTCAAGTTCAAATGTGGCTTTTTTCAACAAATCAGCTGATATTTACATTGTTAGCTGATTATAATTCAAGAAGATGCCAATAACAATAGTCTTGCGATGTATTCCCAACCTTAAGATACAATGCAGCACTCAGAATTGATTTTAATGGCGAAGGTGCACTTAACACAGCTTTTTTTCACTGCTCCTCTCGTTGCTTGTCTACAGTCCTCATCCCTGTTGCCTGAGGGCTCTGGCAGGCCTGCCTAAAAAAATCAGCCCCGCATCACTGGAGACATGCAGGCGCCCCCCTCCACGCTGCTAAAATAACTGTTCACCTTCCTTGTGTTCTGTGAGACCCTATGCAATGGACGCACAGACTTAAACCAAAACACACTTTTGTGGAATATATGAGTGCTGTATGTTGAGGTTGTAGTCAAGAGTTCCTCCATTACACACAGCTCTATGCAGCTGTTCCAAAATGGCTGCCCTTGTGTTTCCGTTGGCGGGTGTCATGAGGACTGGAGCAGAGAGGAAATATCTGCTGCTGCGGATGCATACATATGAGGATTAGAGGGAGGCCTCCATCATTAACAGGCAGTTTTAATCAAGCGCGGTCTGTCCTGGGGCTGCGCTGCTTGCCTCAGGAGCCCTGCAATCCAAAAAGAAGAGACCAGAGATAGAGGGAAGAAGGAGGAGAAGAAATAGATGTGAAAAGAGGATAGAAGGAGGAGAACATGCCACACTGGCAATCACTGAGAAAAGGGTGGGGGATGTAGCATGCAGAGCCTGCAGAGCCAGATGATGGCAGATGTGCTGTGCAGTATAGAGAGGGTTTCTGAAGCGCCCTCTTCATTAAACGCCTCTATGTGCTATTGATTTTACATGGCCAGGTGTCTGTGTGCTCTGTAAATGTGAAAAAGTCGAGTTTATAACCAGTGGCTACAGATTCAGCTCCACAAAGAGCACATGCACTGCTGAATTATTAAGGCAAGGATGAGGTTGTGGGACATTTCCACCATCGCCTTGCGAATGTCATTGCACTCAGCCGGGAGACACAGGCAGAGGCTGCCTTGACAAAAATCGACAGTGACTTCCTCCTCCCCCATCCGGAACCGGTTTGATCCCGATTGCAGAGACTGCAGCTGGCAATTTCCAGAATAATCTGCAGCTCCAGCCTGACGCTCTACCCCCCTACAGATCCTCCAGCTCTTCTCACTCCAACCCGCCTCACGCCCCAATATCACCGTGGCCCTCCAGAGCAGCCATACAGGCAGGCCTTTGATTTGCTGAATCAGAAGATCCCATCTCTGCTTCTGCATGTGCAAACAAGGGGAAGAGATACGCTCTGCCAAACACCAAGAAACCTGATTCAGCGATGGGAATAAGAAACATTTTATGGCCTACATTCACAGCTTTAACACCCTGCTAAATATTGATTTGTAGGTACATCCAATGGAAGACAAACCAGTAAAACACTTCCCACTAAATTGTCATATTATGATGATTTGATCATCATAATATGACATAATTAGAGGGTGATGTTTAGCAACAATATAATTATGCATATTGTTTGAAGAACTAGAAGAGTGCACAACAGAATAAAGCACAGAAAGTGCAAACAACTTTGCGATGTCACTGGAGTCATTTATCTGGGCCTTGCACCTCATTACAATGCATTATCTTACAGGATGCACAGGGCGCGGTCATCGATTGTGAATGCTGCTGAAGTTGGAGCTGCCTAATTGATAGGCTTTGTCACTCAGCACAGAGCAGTGAAACTACAGCAAGAGCCTGTCCTCCCACATACAGCTGTCTCTGACTGTAATACTACTAAAACAACATCTAGAGAACAAAAAATAAACAAATATGAGCATTGGTCTAAAAGCGGATTATCTTGCATAAATTTTGAGAAACATGTTCTGAGCACATGAGCATGACATAACCAGTTCAGGGACCTTCAAATTGAAATGTCAAAGCTTAAAACATAATAAAAAAATAAAAAAATATATATAAAGGCTTTACGTTCTTTAAAAGAATCAGAAGAGTTGGTCAAACAGTGACATTAATTCTAGCATTCAATAACAATTAAAACAAAACACAAATCCGATGATTAGAATTGTGTTTTGTAACAACAGTAGACTGCCAATCAAATACTCTGGTAACAGAAATGTGCTGTTAGAGCTAAACAGTTTGAAGTCTTTTTCAACACCAGCCCATGGCTGGTGGTGGTCAGTGTGTGCATGTGTGTGTGTGTGTGTGTGTGCGTGCGTGCATGTTTGTATGTGTGAGTATTCGTGTGAGTGCGCACGTGTGTGTGTGAGAGAGCTGAGGTGGCGTTATGTGGCTACACTGCGTTGTAAATTAGTGCTTGTAAATGTATAATTTGGTTAGCCCAACTGCTCTCACGTCTGTTGGACTGCTGCCAGCGCACATGCTGAGCGCATGAGCTTACTCTGTTTGCCACCACTCTCATCTCAGAGCTGATCATTGCTCTGCCTTCTCACATCAATACAGAACAACCTTCAATCCCAAGGTTGGAGCTGCTCTGCTCTCACAGTGACGGGTGCAACTCTTCTCAGGGCGACTGTGTGTGACTGTGGCTCCACACTAATGTGATTGTGGCCCGGGTCTGAGGACACCACACAAACAGTAACCTAGCTCCAGCACTGGTTTTGAAGCTAATCAGCTGGAGTGCTGGCACGGGCAGAACACACCTGCTGCTGAGGGGAGTAGCCTGCACTAATTGTGGGAGAGTGATTGGGGCCGAGCCGCTGCAGACGCTCCTACTGTTCAGCCTAATGTAATTAGTCGCCATGTTCTCCTCCAGCAAAATTGTATTATGATTTTTACATTTAATTTAGCCTGTGCAAAATGAAACTGTATCAGAGAGGAAAGATAATAAGAGCAAAATGATATTGAAATTTGCACTGTGATGTGAGGCTATTAATGAGACACAGGTTTTGACGACATGGTGCACACTGGTGCGGCACTTAAATGTCTGGGATTTTAGGGATTCTGCAGCAGGCCTGCAGGTGACAGCAGGAGCCGAGAACTCCACCATCACAGCTCTTATAGTAATCTAGAAGTATTGATTGATTATCGACCCCAACTGGTTTCCTTTCTTCATTTTACTGATGGTAAAGCCCATCTGTTGAAGTGCATGTTTCTGACAGTATTCTATAGATTTTTTAAAGGCACTATTCTCTGTTTAACATTTACTACTAAAAATAATTTGTTATATTTTGTATTTAGCTCCTTCTTCTCGGCGGCTTCAGTCTTTCTGTTCATTTGAAGTAGAGATGCTGCAGTGTGACTGTGCTGCTTTGATTCATTATTCAGTAGTGAGAAGTCGTCCTGCAGTCCCTCAGCAGATTCACACACATGTGATGCACAGAGGCTGCACTTGTAAATATGTAAAATGCACAAGAGTGGCACTAGAAGCATAGGAATAGATGCGTTTAGTCAGTTTAAACATGGTTGGACATAGTGCAGACGCACTCACAGACTGCCCCCTTCTGCCAGCAGCACTGGCCTGCACACTCACGGGAAATGTTAATGGCACCGTGATGACAGCGACTCATGCCCTTAATATCATACTTGATTTGTTTCATTGGTTTTAGGAGTAGATTATTTCCACGAAACAGACTTTGCTTAAGCGGTTTGAAAACGACAAGCGCTACATTTCAACTGTGGTTAGGCATTTTATCCGAGTCTAATCAGATTAAAGTGGTGTTTTTTTCTTGCCACATGGCAAGGCAAGGCAAGGCAAGTTTATTTGTATAGCACAATTCATACACAAGGCAACTCAAAGTGCTGAACAAGATGCATTAAAATCATAAATAATTACAGAACATTAAAACGAAAGATAAAAATATAAAATCCCTCAGTTGTATGCACAGCTAAACAGCACCGTTTTTAACCTGGTTTTAAACATTGTCAGAGAGGAGGCCTGTCTCACATGCCACTGTTCTGCTAGTTCTATTAAGTGAGCAATAAAGGCCTAAATCAGCAGTGTAAAGAAAATAAAAGTACAGTAGTTTGAAGCAGAATAATTGTCTTTCAGACATGAGGCCAGCTGCCTAACAGCCGTGCTTCTTCACTGAGGTGAAATTAGTTTGTTTTTTTCCTAAAAAGAGATTTTAGCCATAGCCTATATTAGCCAACTCTATGACATCTTGAGCTGCCATTTGCAATGTTGAACAAAATGATGATCGGCTCTTTGATAGTTTCACAGTCACAAAGCAAAGCAGAGAGAGAAATGTATGGTGGTATAATGCATCATAGACACAGTGTGTGAGCTGTGCTGTACGGAAGAGCAGCCCTGACTTCTAACCTGTGAGAGATGCACACTGGCCTGACCCGGATCCTTCAGAACGAATTAAGTGAACAATGGATGAAGCTGCAGAATAATGGCTGCATGCGGCTTTGTGCTTCTGTCACACACTCACAGAAACACAAACATCAAACACTCAAACAATCCAGCCATTCACTCTTCTAAAGGCTGAAAGTAACAAGAAATAGTCCAGGAGCCAGATCGCTTATACACAAATATTGTCTATTTCTTGGATGATAAAATGTGGATTACTGAAATATACCATGTTAGCGGCATGCACATTACAAATGGCATTATTCCATTCCCTTCCCTTTGTAGACTTTAGCGTAGGCTTTTCCCACTGCGACCCAATGTTTTTTAACACGTGTTGAAATGCTCATTAAAATGGCCTGTCGTCCCAGGACAACAGAAGGAAAGGTTTGCATGTTGTTTGGACCCGTTTTGGGTTTTTGCCGACTGGAAGACAGGAGCATGTCAAAACAAAAAGGTCAAAACAGCCTTCTGACTTTCTAAAGTCACAGTGCAGTACACCCAGGACCCCAGGGAATCTCATTGTAATGTGTAATGTGTCCAAAATGGAGTGTTAAACTCAGACCATGCTATTCCAAGCTCAATATTATTTCAGAGCTCTATAAAATTGACTCCCAGTATTACATACCAGTATCATACATAAACGTGGCTGTGATGAATATCAAAATGCATTTACTCCTTTTACATTATTTCTATCTCTTTGCCCCACAGATAGAACAAATAAAGAATGTCCCTTGTAATATGTCATCATGACATGAGTACCGAGGAGAGGAATAGATTTCTGTGTTCCACTCATTAAAGTGCAGTGATTGGAGTAACTCTTACACAATTGACTTGCATTGAAAGCTTTCCTTTAAACCAAACCACTGCACAAATACACTAATATACAGCCCCTTTATAATGTATCACAAGGCACCTGTAAAAGGAGGTGCTTCCAGGCTGCCACTACCCCATTACTCAAAGGCTTCAAGGCCCTCTCTCTGTGACAGCCCCTTCTCCCTGTCCAACTAATGGATCATGTGGCCATTGAAGTGCATGGCACAGATCACGAGAGAAGTGTTTTATAGTTGGCGAAAGGGGCTGGGAGCTGGAGGCGCTGAGTCTCTCTGCCATTCAGCAGAGAGGACAGGGGAGCTGGTCTTTAGTCTCCTCACACAAAGAACAAGTCCTGGCTCTGAAAAGGGAGCGAAACACTCAGTTTGAGCCTCATGCTGTTTGGCCTAAAGCATTGCAAAGCTTAAATAAAGGAAGCTGGATATGTCATCTCGACAAAGTGCGTAATGGGAAGTCTTCTAGAGCTTACTCAATGGAAATTATATCCAGTGTTACCCAAAGGAACCACTGTCCGGGCGCACCCAAGGTCAAGGTTAAGCATGGGTGTCCAGTTAGACCGGCCCATATGCAAACACGACTTCACCTATCCTCTAGATAGGAGAACGTTTTCCATCACAAATGCAGAGTAACAGAGGTGTTGAGGGGGAAGTGCAGGATTTGGTCTGCAAATAAAGAGAGTGATTTCTTAATTGAGCCCTATCTGACCTCCACGTGCCAAGGTTATCCGTATGACAAAGCAACTTTGCTTTTGCATGCATTTTCATGAGTTCACCAGGAGTGGTGTGTGAAAGCTGAGTGAGCGGTTAGTGACCTGCAGGTCATGGGGTAGAGGGCTCCAGCTGGTCATACCACCTCCTCATTGACTGATGCACATCTAAACTATTGTGCTTGGCGTGTGCCCATTGTTCTGTAGGAACATTAAAATGCATAGATTCCTGTCAGCCATTTCACTGCGAGTTGACCCTATTAGTAAAGGTGGATACATAAAACATGAACTTATGATCATGATATGTATCCAGTTTATTTAATGATCTCCACAATGGTCTGAAAACCAATATATTTAAGAAAAAGTGTAATTTTTGGCTTTGATATAAATAGTAGTGTAGGTGAGGAAACACATTC